CCTTTTCGGATGTATTGTTGTAGCCGACCATCTTGTACCAATTCCTCCAGGTGATCTTTTAATGCGTAACACCTCTCAGTATCATGGCCGTGATCCTTGTGATATTCGCATCGCCTATCTCGTCTTCTCGTTTCGGGAGGTCCCACCATTTTGGACGGCCATTTGAAGAACGGAAGGTGTTGGACTTTGGACATAACCGCGCTGATCGGCGCTGACAACTCTGTGTATTTCTTGTCGGCGCGCCTTGTGTGCCTGCCATCGACTTGCAGTTGTTCATTTGCTCGGTGGGGGCATTGGTCTCTCAATTGGCGAGAATCCCATCTCTTGTCCCGTTTAGCCCGATGCTACGGTTCGGCGCTCTGAGGCGGTACGGAACTTATCGGCTGAGCAATTTCAGAAGGGGCCATCTTGTTGGCCACGTTTCCGGCTTTAACCTGCAAGGCGTCATCCTCCACTTTGCAGTATTCCTCAACTTTCTTCATCAACGACTAGACTGTTTTGGGGGGTCTTCTAGTCAAGGAGCTGCGGAGAGCACTGTTAGGATGCAAACCCATTTTGAAGGTGGTGATGGCCATGGAGTCGTTGCAAGCGTCATCAACAAGATTAAAGCACTCCTAGTAGCGTGCTGAATACGCTCTTAGTGCTTCTCCTGGCTGGATCTGCATTGCCCAGAGAGAGTCGGCTTGTTTCGGCTAGACCTCGTTAGTGATGAATCTGGCCCTGAAGGATTTCTGTAATTGATAGAAGCTCTTGATCAAAGCTGGCTCCAGTTTATAATACCACCTGAGAGCCAATGGTCCCAAACTGTTGGGAAATATTCGGCACATGAGGGCCTTGTCGTCTGCATGCAATGTCATGGCTTGTTTGTAGTGACGGATGTGATCGGTGGGGTCTGATTTTCCATCATAGAGAGTGAACGACGGAGCTTTGAACTTTTTGGACAGGACCGCCCTTGCGATCCGTTGTACAAAGGGATCATGCTGGTCTTCTTCGTCTGAACTGTTTCTTCTTCGCTTATATGCCTTATACGTACACTCTCTTCAGAAGAACTGGTAGCTCGAGTCGACCCTTCTTTTTGGGCTCTGGGGATAATGAGTCAGAGTCACTGTTGGTGTCCTGTTGTCGGGCTCGAGGTCGTCGACCACCTGCCCTCAGAGGTTGTTCCGGATCTTGGCGTACAGCTTGTTTGGACTTCGCTACTTCCAAGGTCAAATCCTGACGGAGACGTTCTTTCTCAGCGATCATGTTCTCTAATCTCTGTTCGTTTTGCTTTGCTTGCTCCATAATCGCTTGCATTGCCTCTTGTGCTGATGTTGATGGTGAACCGAAGTTTAAGGCCCTTCTTGCGGTAATATTCTCTAGCCCAAGCATATTGCTTGGAGTGGTTTCATCTTGCGGTGTAGGGTCAATAGTGACTGCCGGAGGATCTTCCGTCACGCCTGCCATGGATGTGCTTGGGTATTCCCACAGATGGCGCCAATTGTGGGGAAGTGGTTTGGAAATACTCTTCAGATCCTGGGGGACGCTCGTGATCCTCAAATAGACACCTGAAAAGAAATGAACACTCTGGTCGGGGGTGTCGGAATTAGCATTCCGACGGACAAGTCAGTCTCTATTCTCTCTGGATTACTTGTAAGGATTACTTGTATTTTAAGTTAAGCACACTAGTTCTCACATACCTTTCTTCGATTGTTGTTCCTCTATTTATACTCGTTTCCTGGGCCTCGGGGCCTGGCCCACTTTTCGCCCATTATCCTCTTATTTATTCGGCGCCATAATTCAATAGCTATTCGGCTTATTTATTGTATTCGGCCTCCTGATCATGTAGGATGGGGCCGAATAATGTCTGTCTCCTAGGCCTCCAAGTGTACTTTGCTTATCTAATTCCGCTATTTATTCGGCTCCCACAATGCTAAAATTGCCATCCGAATCTGTTTGTACCCAAAATTGATAATCCTACGTGCAATCAAAATTTTGTATTTTTTAGTTTGGACATTATAATTCAGAGGGATTGATAGAGATGCAAAAGGACTTGAATGAAATCTTACCTTACGATTTGGAGAAGAAAAAAGAAGGTAGCGTTTGGTAGAGTTTTGTCAATGTGATTTGAGAGTATGAGTTGTATTTTGAGGTTGTGTGTTGTGGAATTATGATTTGAGTGTAGAAAATTTGTTTGGTTATGGTTTTTAAATAGAGTGTTGAAATGTGTTTTGAAGATGAATTTTGAATTAAGTTTTGAAAGTTTGATGTGACATGTGAAATAAGAAAATTTGTTTGGTGATGTGTTTTGGAAATAGTTTTCAAAACTTAATTCAATCAATAATTTATAATCAAACACTTAACTCATATATCGATATCCGTATTTTTTATCAACAGTAATAACCAAACTATTTTTAAAATACTGAAATTAAAAATTGATTTTTTTTTCAATTAATTTTTTTTCAGTAATTTTTTTGAATAATTTTTTTTTCAAATTTTTTTTCATTTTAAAATAAATCTATGTTAATTATTTTGTGTCAATTAAATTTTCTATCAATTCATTTTTTACGCCTTACAAACATCTTTTACAATACGTTTTTTATTTTTTTCTAAAATTTTGTTAAAAGTCAACAACTTTTGAGAATACATATTAATAAAAATTAACATAAATACACTAAGTTTAATATTTTAAAATAGAAATCATAACGTAAACCTTACAAAACATTATCAATTTTTTTTCTCATTTATTACACGTTATTAATTTAGTAATAAAGTCATAACAGATTGTGCAGTATTTGTTCAATATACGGATGTAATATTATTAAAAAATTATTAATATTATAAAAAAATAATAGATAAGAAATAAAAAGTAAAAAATAAAAATAAAAAACAACCTGAACCTTCAGAGTAGCTTCAGATAGTCGAACACCAGGAAGTCAGACCGGGACAACCGGGCGGTCATCCGGCCGGTCATACCATCTCACACCAATTCCCACTCAGTGGAAGCTTTTCAGAGAAGAAATATGAGGTTCACATGATACAGAGAAGAAATATGAGGTTCACGTTAAATTTTCAGAGACGATGGAGAAGGACATGGAAGCTTTTCCGATCAAAAGAGAAAGAAAGATGAGGTTCACGTGAAATTTTCAGAGACGATGGAGAAGGACATGGAAGCTTTTCAGATCAAAAGAGGAAGAAGGCAGAAACGTTAGAAGTAGAGAACTGAAGTACAAGCTGCCAAACGGGTTTTCAAACTGTAATTTGAATTAACACGCGGAATTGTATTTTGAATGTCCTATCCAAACGTGAAGCGGGAGTTCACGTGTTGAAAGTTAATTTGAAAATACAAACAAACAGAGCCGAAAGTTCTCACCTTGTTCTCTGTTTGCCAGGATCCTTCAGTTCTTGCAGCTGATAGACCAACATATGCATATATTGCCGGGACAAGAGAACCAGAAACAAACCTGTACTTATGTGTTCACAATGCAAATAAACAACAAATCAATCCAAGACTTACATGTTGCCATACCATCAATCCTAGGAGGAATTATGTTCATTACCTGTCCTGGACAAACAGTCATCCTGAAGCTGAGCCACGTTCATTAGCAGTAAGATAATAGGGCGATGATACAAAATCATATGGCCATAACGATTCTTGAAACAGCCTCTAGGATGAGTCAACCATGAAAACAAAACCCATTAACAAATCCTACAGATAATGCCTTTAATATACATTATAAATGATAGTTCTTGTATTTAAGTTGATTAGTGGATAATTCTTAACAATCACATATATGGTCATATTGTGTTGTGATGCCAATGAAATAGTACCTGTTTTTTTGCATCTATCCATAAGTTGTGTGCATTTGATACATGTGGTGTCGAATTGAGGTACACGAAGAAGGGGCCAAAGACTTTCCTCCATGTCTCTCCCCCTTCAAAATGAGCTAATATATCAACCCCAATATAATGAGTTCCATGAAACATCTGTTACATTAAAAATTCAAGAACATTCATTTAGCCTGTTACATCTTCTTGTTTAATGATGCCGTTTTAGAATATAACCAAGTTGTGAAGCTTTGAATCTTTCCACAGTTGATTGAAGAAATAATTTTGACCATCTTATCAAGCTAGTTTTTTGGATTCCAAAGAGAAAAATATTGATAAGTTGGTGCTAACCTAAAGTAATTCATGGTTTATTTTTATACATATCAAATTTGTAATACGATTTGCAGCTTAGCAGAGGAGAGTTACAGCAAGGCAGGCTGGACCAGTGTGGGCAGTGAGATTTGCTTAGTTGGACCACCATTGCGAAACTCATGGCTCGGAAAGATGATCCAGAACCCAACATATGGACCAGAACTTATCCAGCCATGCACTCCACTGTCTTTGTTGTCCATTGAGTACTGATACTTATCGTCAACCTGCACTCATCCACATACAAGACAGGCAAGTTCCTTGTTGGTTAATTTTTCTTGTTGGCAATTAAGGTCATATTCAAGGATCAAATTTCATTTCTCTATGTTGTTTTAGTTAGTTTAGAAATGGAAATGTTTCAGAAACAACAGGAAAATGACAAAAAATATTGTAAACGTATGAAAAACGTTTGGGGAAAAAGAAGAAGAAGAGAGACTAAAACCTATACATGCTCGATAACTAAACAATTGAACATGTTGAAGTTTATGAATGTTAGAAGTTACAAATGAAAATTTGTGTCATTTACAAAAGAAAATTTCTTGAGGATGAAAAAAAGAAAAGAAGATCATTTAGTTTCCTCTTCATATACTCCATAATCTCCTTTTCTTCTTTCTACCTTTTTAGTTTCTTATATTCTCTTATAAATTCTAAATTTTCCTTTTTACATGAATATTTTTTTGTTACCCCCCAAAAAAATTGTAAATAGAAGACCATTTTTGGATATTATTAACAGGTGTCAAAATAACTTCTTGTTTTGGTATTTTTGTGGTGTTTCAGTGTGTTTCAGTAGGTTTTCAATAGAAAAATTGAAATTTTGATATTCGACATATGTTTCATTTCGGTTTCCTAGGAAACAGAATTGTTTTGGCTGTTTTGTTTTCGAAATTTTGTTCTTCAATCATAATACATGCTTGTTTATGCACACACATGTATGTTATAGCACACATTTGGGATAAGATTATTCACCTCGCCTTTGAGATCTGGATTAATGGGATTTGTTAGCAAAACTGATTCAGGTACAATTAGCTGTTTGCTTCTATCTGGGAGTATATCCTCTGGCATTGGCATAATCTTCTGCTTTTCATCTGAAATTGCCATATAATGAAACCTGCTTCAGTCTTTTGGTGTCAATGTACACTTAAAAACACCAGAGAGTTCTGAAATTCACTTAGGAGACTTCATTTTACTTTTCTCGTCGCAACTTGAACACCATTCTTGTTTGAGCAAGATCAAAGGCACGACACCCTGGAGGACGCTCGTATATTGCGTAGCAATAGAAGCCTGAAACACCACTCCTCATAATGTACCTGGACAATACAAAACATTTTAGACAGTATAAGTTGAATTTGGGAGCAATTTATTGACTGAATTTGGGGGAATATAGAGACTAGACCTTAAGTCAACACTGAGCGGAAAGTCTGATGCCTGGGGTTGAAGGATCATAAGTACTTCTGAAAGAGAGCTCCAACTTCTCATTACTCGTGTGTATCACACTGTAGTTAGATCCTTTGAGGCTGTGTAGTAAAAGGGATTATGTTTCAGCTTCTTGTTAACATTTCCTACTCTTGGAGTTTTCTTATGCTCCGTTTGTTTTGTCAAAAAATCTTTTTCTAAAATCTTTTCTGAAAAATGTTTTTCTTATATTTGGTTGCATCCAAAAACTGAAGCGGCAGTGGTGGTGGTGGCAACGATGGTTGCAATAGGGGCTGTGGTGGTGATAAAGGTGATGGTGTTGAAATATTTTCTGGAAAACGTCTCACATGAAAAACATTTGTTTATGTTTGGTTGCAACCTTGGAACTGATGAGCTAGTGGCAGTGGCAGTGTTGGCAACGATGGTTGTGGCAGGGGATGGGGGCGGTGGGGATATTGTTGGCAAGACCTAGTCCAGAAAAATGAAACACGTATTTCACCAAAATAAGCTATTTTGGAATAATCATGGAAAACGTTTTCAGTTCTCTCTCATTTTTCTGCTATACTAAACGTTAGAAATTCCGTAAAATATTTTTCTTGAAACAAATGGAGCATTAGTGCGAAACAGAGGAGAACATATTCAAAATAAAAATCATACTATTGATATCTATCTTGCCCTCCTGGCAAGCTCCAGTTGAGGTCCCAATATCTGCACATTTTACACAGAAAACAGTGTAAATTATAGTGTTTGAACACAATTATGATCACTTGGGAATTGTGAATTTGCTAGCATTAGCTGCAAATGCTTTCCTAATTGCTTCTTACGAAACAAACCATTCATAATCTCCCAGTAATAGACTATATATTTATAGATAGATTAAAAAATTAGAAGGGAAGATAATATTAAATATATATATATATATTATGATCTTGGTAACCTTTAGTAACAAATTATATTTATTTATATAATAAAGTATATTATCTATTATATTATTATATAACAAATTATATTTATTTATATAATAAAGTATATTATCTATTATATTATTATATAACAAATTATATTTATTTATATAATAAAGTATATTATCTATTATATTATTATATAACAAATTATATTTATTTATATAATAAAGTATATTATCTATTATATTATTATATAACAAATTATATTTATTTATATAATAAAGTATATTATCTATTATATTATTATATAACAAATTATATTTATTTATATAATAAAGTATATTATCTATTATATTATTATATAACAAATTATATTTATTTATATAATAAAGTATATTATCTATTATATTATTATATAACAAATTATATTTATTTATATAATAAAGTATATTATCTATTATATTATTATATAACAAATTATATTTATTTATATAATAAAGTATATTATCTATTATATTATTATATAACAAATTATATTTATTTATATAATAAAGTATATTATCTATTATATTATTATATAACAAATTATATTTATTTATATAATAAAGTATATTATCTATTATATTATTATATAACAAATTATATTTATTTATATAATAAAGTATATTATCTATTATATTATTATATAACAAATTATATTATTTATATAACAAATTATATTATTTATTATATAATTATCATTATATAACAAATTATATTATTTATTATATGTTAGAAACGGGAGGGGGAAGACGACGCAGATCGACAAGAAAGAAAGAGAGAGAGAAGAAGAAGAAGCAGCAGGAGGTGAGCACGATCGCGATGGCCATGGCGATGACGATCGAAGGCGATCGTGAGCAGATCGTGAGGGCGAAGACGACTGGAGGTTCGACGAAGGTTTGTCTTCTCACTCTCTTCCTTCACACACTCTCTCCTCTGTCTCTCTCTCCTCGCCGTATCTGACACCAACAAGTTAGGGTTTTTGTTCTTCTTCACCAACGATCCCATTTTGGCTAGGATCGCGTTTCTCTCTCTACGGAAACGCGATTCCTACACTTTTCTTTCTAAGAAACGCGGAGGAAGATTCGTCACCTGTTAGGACGATTCCTGCAACTAAGATAGGAACTGTTGAACTGCTGCCTCCAGAATAGGAATTAGTTGTAGATTATTTTCAATAATGGTTGTAATGGTTGCCTATGCTTCCACAATTCGTGCCACGTTTTTATTTATGATTGTTACATCTTGTAGTGGGTGGTTCTCATTTGCCTTATGAATGGCCTGGGAACTTTTGGAATAAGAAGGCAGTTAGTTATAGTCTCAAAAAAACCTCTCTCTCTCTCACTCCAGTCTCTGTTCTCCTAAGCCTCTGTTCTCCTCTTATACAAAATTCATATTATTTGGTATCAGAGCCAGGTTACATGGATACGCGGGCCAAAAGCAACGCTAAGTTTCGCAGTGAAGTCAACGAAGCATTAGCTCGTCACGAATCCAACTTCGACCAAATCCACGGCACCCTCCAAACTGTTTTGACAGAACTCCAGACCATGCGAGTCTCGCAAAACACGCCTTCCATCGATAACCCATTTGCCCCAGCCGAAACCTCTCATAACCAACCTCTTTCCACTACCCACAACACTCCAGACCGAAATCGCAACAACACCCCAGACCGAAACCACACACACTTAAAGCTATCATTTCCTAAATTCAACGGAGACGATCCGACGGGCTGGATCTTTAAGGCTGAACAATACTTAGATTTCAAGAGTGTTGCTCCTGACCAACAAGTTCAGCTCGCTTTTTTTCACCTCAAAGGCATAGCTCTCTAGTGGCTTCGATGGCTAACCAAGTTCAGAGGTCCATTAACTTGGAACGAGCTAACCAAGGCCCTTTTGCTCCGCTTCGGTCCCACCGATTATGAGGATCCCTCAGAAGCCTTGACCCGCCTCAAACAAACTTTGACAGTGACTACCTATCAAGAAGCCTTCGAGATGCTCTCACATCGTGTTGATGGGTTGCCCGAAAATTACTTGATTGGGTGTTTCATTGCTGGACTCCGTGACGACATACGCCTGGATGTCAAACTCAAGCAACCCTACACCTTGGCCGACACCATTGGAGCGGCACGGCTAATTGAAGAGCGCAATGCTCTACAAAAAAAAGGGAATAGCTCCTTCCGTCCTCAAGTGGCAGCCTTCACCCCACGGTCTTCTCCAAACAACACAGCCGGTGTTCTAGGACCCCCACCCACATCGAAGGTGGGTCAAACCTCGGCCAATGCTCCAGTTCCAGTCCGACTAATTACTAGTCAAGAGGCACGCGAACGGCGCGAAAAAGGGCTGTGCTATTATTGTGATGAGAAATTCACTCCGGGTCACCGCTGTCAAAGACCCCAGTTGTTTATGATTGAAGAGTCACCAATCCTCGAACCTACCATTGCCATGGACCCTCCCGAAGAACCCAAAATGGCCGAGCTCCTACCCGAAATCTCATTCCATGCAATAGCTGGGATGACACATCCTCAAACATTCCGGGTGGTAGGCAAATTACAAAATAAAGCAGTGACTATCCTCATTGACAGGGAAGCACCCACAATTTCATTGATCAAGCCATACTCACGAAATTCGGGTTGCTCGTTGCTCGCGATCAGAAGTTGCAAGTAATGGTGGCCAATCGGGACAAAATCGACTGCGATGGACAATCCCTTGGGCTCACCCTCCTCGTCCAAGACTTTCCAATTCAAGCAGATTTTTATGTTCTACTTGCAGCGGCCTGTCAAGTGGTCTTGGGAGTTCAGTGGTTGGCCACCCTGGGTCCGATCGAGACTGATTACAGCCGTCTCACAATGTCCTTCCAGCAAGGAGGAAAATCTTGTATGTTTCAAGGCCTTAAGCAACCTACACCCACTGCCTTGAGTGATAAGGAACTACTCCACCTCAATGGCACAGCCTTATTCTTTCAAATCATTCCAAGCCATGAACCAACTTCAGACAAGGACCACCCCGCCGACCTCGCCCAAATCCTCACTGAGTTTGAGCATGTCTTTGCCGTCCCCAATACCTCGCCACCAATACGAACCCATGATCACCACATACCATTACAACCAAATCAAGAACCAGTGAGCGTCCGACCCTACCGATACCCTTATTATCAAAAAGTAGAAATTGAAAGGATGGTGAAGGAATTTCTTGATCCAGTACCAGCCCATTTTCTTCACCGGTATTGCTCGTCAAAAAAGCGGATGGAGGTTGGCGGTTTTGTGTTGATTATCGAGCTCTCAACAATATTACAATCAAAGATAAGTACCCGATCCCGGTCATAGATGAACTCCTCGACGAATTACACGGGTCCAGGTATTTTTCGAAACTTGACCTCCGCGCCGGATATCATCAAATACGGGTTCAAGAGGCTGATATACACAAAACTGCTTTTCGCACGCATGACGGACATTACGAATTTGTTGTTATGCCCTTCGGCCTTACAAATGCCCCCTCCACCTTCCAAAGTTTGATGAACGACTTGCTACGACCTTACTTGAGGAAATTTGTTCTGGTCTTCTTTGATGACATCTTGGTGTACAGCAAAAATTGGGTTGATCACCTCGGGCACCTCCGTGCAGTCCTTCTTGTTTTATCCAGCAATCAGTTGTTTGCTAAACAATCTAAATGTTGTTTTGGCGTGTTACAGGTGGCATATTTGGGACACCTCATTTCATTTGCAGGGGTGGCCGTTGATCCCGGCAAAATTAGTTCAGTTCTCGAGTGGCCAACTCCCACTTCCACCCGAGGTGTTCGTGGCTTCCTTGGCTTAGCCGGATACTACCGAAAATTTATTAGTGGTTTTGGAGGGATAGCTGCGCCTCTCACTCGCTTATTATCCAAAGATGGGTTCCATTGGACTTCTAAGGCCGCCGCCGCTTTCTCACAACTCAAACAAGCCCTCACATCTCCTCCAGTCCTACGTTTACCATATTTTTCACAATCCTTTGTGATTGAATGCGATGCTTGTGGGGTGGGCATCGGGGCTATTTTGTCACAACAAGACCAACCCATAGCTTACTTCAGTGAAGCTCTCAAACCTTCGGCCTTAGGTCTATCGACCTACGAGAAGGAGATGCTAGCAATAGTGAAGGCCATCTGCAAGTGGAGACCATATTTAATCGGTAAACCTTTCATTGTCCGGACGGATCAGAGGAGTTTAAAATATTTGCTAGAGCAACGGATCACGACACCGGCACAAACACGGTGGTTACCGAAGATCCTTGGTTATGATTATATCATTGAGTACAAGAAAGGAAGGGAGAATTGTGGTGCGGATGCTCTCTCACGGGTTGGAGAACTAGAGTTCCTCGCCGTGTCCCTGCCCGTTGCCGATTGGTGGGCTACACTCCAATGTGAGGTAGCCAACGATCCATTTTATAATCAATTACTAGAATCAATTCCATCACACCTCCAGCCGCAGTACTTTTTACGTGATGGGGTTCTTTTCAAAGGAGAGTGCATCTATTTAAGTCCTACTTCGCCACTACTTCCAGCAATTTTGTTAACACATCACTCGTCACCAAGTGGTGGACACTTTGGCTATCATAAAACATTGAGCCGCATCAAAGCAAGCTTTGCTTGGTCTCACATGCGAACTGCAATCAAGGAATTCATCAAAAATTGCGATGTCTGTCAACGATGCAAATCTAATTGCTTGCGACCCGCTGGCCTATTAAAACCATTGCCAATACCAGCCAAAGTATGGACTGACATTTCCATGGATTTCGTAGAAGGGTTGCCGCTGTCCCACGGTAAAACTGTCATCATGGTGGTCGTGGATCGCTTGACCAAATATGCACATTTTATTCCACTCAAGCACCCCTTTACTGCCATCACTGTGGCTAAAGCCTTTATCGAACAAATTGTTCGACTTTATGGCATGCCAGCATCCATTGTAAGTGACCGAGATAAAATCTTTATGAGTTTATTTTGGAAAACTTTATTTCAGATCCAAGGTACAGCTCTTTGCATGAGTTCTAGTTATCACCCACAAACTGATGGTCAAATGGAGGTGGTTAATCGCACGCTCGAGCAGTATCTTCGATGCTTCACACATGGGCAGCCAAGAAAATGGATGGACTTGGTTGCATGGGCTGAATATAGCTACAACACTTCCACTCACTCGTCCACCAAAATTTCCCCTTTCGAGGCCGTGTACGGGGTACCTCCACCCACTTTACTTTCCTACATTCCAGGGACAACAAAAGTTCAGGCCGTTGACGACCTCTTGCGCAATCGAGATGACATCCTTAGTGCATTGCGTCGTAACTTGACTGTCGCTCGTGACCGAATGAAATCCCAGGCTGACCGACATCGACGAGAGCTTGTTTTTGAGGTCGGTGATTTTGTGTACCTCAAACTCCAACCATACCGGCAGAAATCAGTGGCTTTTCGCAGCTCTATGAAGCTCTCACCTCGGTTCTTTGGTCCTTGTAAGGTTCTTGCTAGAATTGGCCCAGTGGCGTACAAGCTCGAGCTGCCAGAGGGTTCCCAAATCCACAATGTTTTTCATGTCAGTCTTCTCAAGAAACTCGACGGTCCCATCACCATGGCTTCCCATCAACTTCTGCCAGTTTCGGACACATCCGAGATCCTCAACCTGAAGCCGTGTTGGACACCCGTATTGTTCAAAAAGGACGTTACCGCCCCAAAACCGAGATTTTGGTTAAATGGATTGGGGCGCCAATTGAGGATGCAACCTGGGAGAATCGTTGGCATTTTTTGAAGACTTACCCTGCCTTTATCCTTGCGGACAAGGATAATTCCAGAGGGGAGGAATGATATGTCTGTTGCATTGCTGCTTTTGGGAGTGAGTCATGCATGAGAATAGGAACTGTTGAACTGCTGCCTCCAGAATAGGAATTAGTTGTAGATTATTTTCAATAATGGTTGTAATGGTTGCCTATGCTTCCACAATTCGTGCCACGTTTTTATTTATGATTGTTACATCTTGTAGTGGGTGGTTCTCATTTGCTAACTGCCTTCTTATTCCAAAAGTTCCCAGGCCATTTATAAGGAAAATGAGAACCACCCACTACAAGATGTAACAATCATAAATAGAAACGTGGCACGAATTGTGGAAGCATAGGCAACCATTACACAACTAATTCCTATTCTGGAGGCAGCAGTTCAACAGTTCCTATTCTCATGCTAAGTCCTATTCTCATGCATGACCCACTCCCAAAAGCAGCAATGCAACGGACACATCATTTTTTAAAGGTTACCCTCTATTTGTTTCACTTGACTTGAGGTCCAGAAGGTTGCCCAGTCCTCCATATTTTATGCCAGTTACAAATCCTTGTGGTTTTGCTATTGTGAGTCTGACTAACCCATTATCCAGTATAACCTGCACCAAAATATGATATGAAAAATATGAGAGAGAGAGAGAGAGAGAGAGATGGATTGGTAGAGTAGACACACGTAGGAGCTTTTGGTGATCAAAGTCACATTCTTCTTTGCCATAACAGAAATGGATTTCCTACTCTGCGCTTTCAGTACTCAGGAGAAATGAGAATGGCTAGCTGGAAGTATTGAAGTGCTTTTTTCATTTTTTGTTTTTAGAACTAGTCGTTGGTTACTATGAGCATTAAGGGAAGTGTTAAAACCTATCACCTACATCATCCACTAAACCGTAGGAGCTTTTGGTGATCAAAGTCACATTCTTCTTTGCCATAACAGAAATGGATTTCCTACTCTGCGCTTTCAGTACTCAGGAGAAATGAGAATGGCTAGCTGGAAGTATTGAAGTGCTTTTTTCATTTTTTGTTTTTAGAACTAGTCGTTGGTTACTATGAGCATTAGGGGAAGCATTGGCAACCAAATTCTATATTTATTTAAACATTATATGCTTTTGTAATTCTAGTTTATATCACCTATACATTGGAGCTCTATCCGAACAAAGTTATCTAAATAAATAGATTCTTTCCACTATATATTGTTTCTTGCCTATTCATTGGTATTGCTATATTTTTAAATTTATGTATGTGTTTTTTTGTGAAAGAAAGAAGAGGAAATACCACTTGAGCAGCCTTCAACGAGAGAGTTAGACTTCTCAGACTAAGAAACTCTGAAATTTCACAGTTTCTACGTTTGAAAAACAGCTTAGTTTTACAGTTTTTGCGCATAAACTGTAAAAGTTCAGAAACACCCTTCATTTTTTAATCAAATTCACTGGAGTTCTCTCTCTCTGTCTCTCTGTCTCTCTCCATTGCGACTGTTGTGACAACTTCCATATTTTCATCTCCAATTTGACTTAGGCATTGAAGCTATTTTGTATACATGCTGAAACTGCTTATCAATTACTGATGAGATTTCTTTCCAAATTTGAGTTCACTTGCTTCCTATATTTCAGGTCTTTCAATTCAACTTTGTTGGCAAAACAATGTGGGTGCCTTCTAAAGTCTCCAAATGCTTTCTGGGCACAAACAAGCAAAGGTCATGAAACTCCGAAATTTCACAGTTTCTACGTTTGAAAAACAGCTTAGTTTTACAGTTTTTGCACATAAACTGTAAAAGTTCAGAAACACCCTTCATTTTTTAATCAAATTCACTGGAGCTCTCTCTCTCTCTCCATTGCGACTGTTGTGACAACTTCCATATTTTCATCTCCAGTTTGACTTGGGCATTGAAGCTATTTTGTATACATGCTGCAACTGCTTATCAATTGCTCATGAGATTTCTTTCCAAATTTGAGTTCACTTGCTTCCTATATTTCATGTCTTTCAATTCAACTTTGTTGGCAAAACAATGTCGGTGCCTTCTAAAGTCTCCAAATGCTTTCTGGGCACAAACAAGCAAAGGTCATGAACACCTGTCCCCAGAGGTCATGTACTAGTGGTGTTGGACATGGACATGCACAGAACACACTCCGATTAGGAGTTGCTTTCTTTCCTCGACAAAGTTGAAATGGTTGGTTGGGGAATTTGGAAAACGACAAATAGGTGACGGGGAAAATGACCACTTCATGAATGACAAATAGCTTTCCTTTAAGCATAGATTTCAACATTTCATCTCTGAAACCTCAAAGGCTGCCTAGGACACGGGTCGAACATGCTACAAGAAATGTTTCATATATATATATTTATTACAATCAGACAAATGGGAACTCGCAATGGAATTGTTGGCACATATTGGGGACATGTAGTGTCCTATTAAAAAAAATTATATATATATTTTCATCATGCTAGCATACGCAAGATTGATGAAATTGATGAGAATAAATATATAATATTTAAATATATGACAAATATATTTTGCACATGTATCTTGTGTACCGTATCTTACATTTTAAAAAAATTTACATGTCTGCATGTTATGTACCTATTGTGTTATATATTCATATCCTTACTTTCTTAGGTGGCCAATCAAATTGTTGGCACATATTGGGGACATGTAGTGTCCTATTAAAAAAAATTATATATATATTTTCATCATGCTAGCATACGCAAGATTGATGAAATTAATGAGAATAAATATATAATATTTAAATATATGACAAATATATTTTGCACATGTATCTTGTGTACCGTATCTTACATTTTAAAAAAATTTGCATGTCTGCATGTTATGTACCTATTGTGTTATATATTCATATCCGTACTTTCTTAGGTGGCCAATCATGTGTTTGTTGAATATTTGAATTTGAACCGGAAACAGTAGAACGCATTTTATTTGGATGATGCTAGTGGACTGTATTTTATTTGGGTGGGTTCAGTACATTTTCTGAATGAGGACTAGCCATTTTGGATTAATAAAAAGTTGTGTTTTATTTACACATTTTCAAAACACACTGCAAAGTTGTCTTTGTGATTATGCTCAAATGGCGAGTCGTTCAAGTTCTACCCAATGCCTGAGTTTGCGTTCCTGAGATAGGTCCAAATTGTTGAAATTGGTCCCTGGGCACAACACAAATAACCTTGCCTAGGATCGTTTGTTGGTTCTGTGAAAAAAACAAAAAAATCACTTTATATCATAAATATATCAAATAGACACTACATTGTGTTGCAATAAAAAATATCAGTTTGAGTTATAATTAAAAATTCCAGTTATAGTCAATAATGCAATGATGTGTACCTTTCATATAACATTCGATTATAACGAAATCATCAATTTAAATCATAATCGAATCAATCCCATATATACTGATAACATAATCACAAATTTTGGAATAACTTTTCAAAATTACAGGCATAGGATGCAAAGCAAAGGTACAAAACTCATTGGCTTGTCCTCTTCAAGCATTCAACTTTGCTGAGAAGTTATAGAAGTGCTTTTGCTTTACCAATGTTTATAGAAGTGCTTCATATCATAGCTTTTTTGTTAGCATTGATTCCTTAGAATTGGCTTGCTTTACTGACTAGTCACAGTCAACAGTTTAAAAAAGATTACTGCTATTCACACTTGCCTAAATTTTTTGAACTTCTTAATTTTTAATTTTTCTTTTATCATCATTTTATTTTGAAGTGAAATTACATTAGAATACATTATTTAATGAAAAACTCACCTACCAAATAAGAACTGACACTACACAATATTGTACACCCACCCACACCTCCACCTATATGTATTCCACCTTTCTAACTTTAAACCTGTTATTCTTCGTAACCAATCAATATAAACCCTAAATCTGTTACTCTTCATAACTATCTTAAACCTTGAATGTATTTTCTTCATTACCATCATAAACCCTCCTGAACCAGAAACCTTGAACCAGAAAGCTCTTAGCAATGGAGGATGATGCTAACAATTCTGATGAAGTTGGCGTTCCATTGATAAGTTTATCTGTTTTGCATTAACATTCTCAGTCGTTTTTAATTGTTATTGTTTTGTTCGAACTGTTTGGTACTGGTTTGCCAACTGTTAAGATTATGTTTGGTAACACAGTACTAAACACAAACATCTAATCAAGAGATGGGTTCCAAACTATAATGTAGATAGTCGGTACTGTTGAATTGAACATGACCTTTATTTTTGGCATTGGGGTGCCGAACGGTTCGATTTTTGTATCTTCAACATCAGATTATATTTTTCGTGAGGGTTTTTCCTCCTAAAACCCCCTTTTATGTCAAAATAAACCAAAAATAAAAATGTGATAGGAAGAAGAGAGGCAATGTTGTTGATAAGATGGAGAATTGGTATTTACCTGAGAGGAATTTTTGATGAGTTTTCTGCAATGGTGGACAAGAATTTCTTACGAGTTTTTTGACCGTATTCTTTGGACACCATTGAGGCAATTCTTCCTTTCATTGAGAGTTGATAGGAATTTCAATGATGGACCGTCGATACAATGCTCTTCACTGAGGTAATAGTGTTTACTGATACAATGACCGTTGGTATTCTTTTCAACCGGAGATGGTCGGTCATCAAAAGGAGGAGAGAGGGTATTCAAAATTAGGTGTGTATGCCTTGGGTATGATAATATTATGAATAGAGATAAATTTGATATTAAGTGGGGTGTCTAAAGAAATCTCATTGAAATTTAGGGTTTAGAGTAAGGGCACAAAGAAATGGGAGGTCCAAAAAATTTAGGCAGGTGCTAATAGCAGCCCTCTTAAAAAAGTCATGTTCCTTTGCTCTTTTTTGTTTTTTGAATTTTCACTTTTTTTATTTTATAATTTTGTCTTTAATAAATTTTTTAATTGTTTAATCTTTTTTTTTTTACTTTTTAAAATCACATAATTTAGATGCGTTTAAGAAGTATAACATTTGTGAAAAAATTTGAAAAAAAAAAATTCACCGTGACAAAAAAATACATAAATACCATTTTTTTTTTCTTGTGAATAAATTACACTTACCTTTCTTGAGGTTTAGAGAAAATAAAATAAATCCCACAGTTTTGACATAATTACATTGAGTTCCTTTGAGATTTTAATTCATATAACATTTAGCCCTATTTTCATCAATAATTTGTTAGTTATATGTATGAGAAAAAAATGATATAGTTATATCTTTTATACGAAAATGTATATTTTACGTTGTTTATTTTTGTATTTTCGCATTATCTGAATTAGTTTCGATTTGTTTAATTTTACTAAAAAGGAAGTCAGTATAATTATTTCAAAATTATATTTTTTCCAAACCTTAGGACAGGTCAGTGTCATTTACCCTTTCTAACAATTTTCTTCCCACCAAATTAATTTTTTAAAAATTTCAAAAGGAGTGTTAATCTGTTCTTATCCCTCTCTTAACTAAACCAATCACTTCTTAGATGAAGCAAAGAAAACTAGATTTTAAGATCATATTTGTTTGGCTCTTTAGAAAAGAAGATTGGAATAATAACTAGTAGGATCTATTTAAAGAGTGTTTGGTTGTAGACATGAGTGAGGAGATTAACTATTCTCTTGGACTAGTAATCCTCCCAGTGGTAGGACTAACAAAGTCATAGCAGGGTTGAGATTAAAAATTGAGTGAGGGGATTAATGCAATTTTAAATGATTTTTAAGCAAAAATTATATTTTTTAGAATAAAAAAATAATTATAATATTAAAAAATACTAAAACTTAAAAAATATTAATTTTATATATTAATACTATTTATAGTATTACTAATTTGATAGTGTACAAACAAACATTATTTATCTTAAATAAAAAAATAATTATAATATTAAAAAATACTAAAACTTAAAAAATATTAATTTTATATATTAATACTATCTATAGTATTGTCAATCCGGTACTGAATAAACAAATACTATTTATCTTATATCTCCAACTTAATACCACCATACTAATAATTTTCTTACTTAATTTTACCGTACTCTTAATCCCCTCCATCTTATGAGCCAACCAAACGTGGCCTACACTCATTCAAACTTCATTCAAAAGCTAAAGCTAAAGCCATCATCCTCATCTTCTTATCCTGCCCCATCTTCGAAGCCATCTTATTCTTCTTGTTTCGCCATGGCGGCTTTATTTGAGACAGTGTTGGTTTCTCAGGCAGCGGAAGAGGAGGAGGACTCAATTGGCACCACCAGTGTTGAAGTTTCTATGGCTACATCTATACTTGTAATTGTACTTTCAATGGGTATATTTTCCATGGCTGTATCTGCTGCACTACAGGTTTCAAGAGCACTCTATAACTACTTCACTCGTACTGGTTAGCTCCCTCAATTAATTCTTCATCATCATCATCATCATCATCATATATAGATAGATCTTGTGATTTAGTAGTAAATTTCATTTCATTTCGTTTCATGGCATGATTTGATTTGCATTGATTTGTTGTAGAATTACAAGTTTCTGGTTTAGCGGAACTATGAAAGTTAATATAATTGGAATCCTTAAAAATTTAGGCCTCGATCATTTTCAGAGCTAGAATTGGAATCCTTAAAATTTTAGGCCTCGATTGTTTTCAGAGCTAGAATGAAAGGAATTGATAGTGAGGGGATTAAGTAAGATTGTGTTTATTTTGATGATAGTTGTTGGTTTTGTGATTGTTAAATTATTTTTATTCCTTGATAGTGAGGGGATTAAGTAAAATTGTGTTTGTTTTGATGATAGTTGTTGGTGTTGTGATTGTTAAATTATTTTTATATAAAATAATAAAAAAAATACAAAAACATTAAACATTAATTTTTTTTTTTAAAAAAAAAAAACGTCCAACATGTAAAAAATAAAAATAAAAAAGAAAAAAATAAAACAATGATTTTTTACTTAAAAAAAAATACAAAAAATTAAACACTAATGTTAAAAAAAAATAAAAAATGCCTAACATGTAAAAAATAATAAAATAATAATAAAATAGTCTGACGGATTATTTTTTTAATACCACCTCCATCTCCACCTCCACCTCCTCCATCTCAATCCCCCTTATAAGGTTCAATCTAATTTGGACCTGCATCTCAATCCCCTCCCCAGATCTGCAAACAAACACAACATGAAATGGGTCCTACCTCTATCCTATCCCATCTCTCCCTCTATACCCAAAACAAACGGGGCCTTAGGGTGAACTACAAATGCACTCTCTAAAATTTGCTTGAAATATGGATTGTTCACTATGATTTTAGAAATTACAAATACCCCATTGTCAGCATTTTTTATTTAATAAATTAACTAAAAAAAATAAAATTCCTAATTACTTATTTATAAAACAATAAAACTATTTGTATTGTTAATTGAGATATATTTTTAACGTCTATTAAAAACTATTAATTGCCTTGATAATTTATTAATAAAATGGGTCATTTGTTATAGGACTAGAAACTTGAAGGGGTAAAATGTAATTTCTAAAACTACATATAAGGTAATTTGTATTTTAAACAAATCTCACGAAGTGTGTTCGTGGTTTATCCTAAAATTTATGCTTTACTCTAATGCTCCATTTGTCTTAGCAAAAATTATTTTCTTATGACTTTTTTTTTGAGGGTTTTTACATCACTGATCTCTCTAATTTGAGTGAAATTTTACTTTGATCATTGTAGTTTTAATTTGAGTAATTTGGTCCTTACACTTTCAATTTTGTTACAATGTGGTTCCTTTGTAATGAGTTGTTAACACTTTCAATTTTGTTATAATGTGGTTTCTCTGTAATTAGTTGTTAACATTTTGAACGAAAAAAAGTCATGTGTAAAACTAGAGAGATAAAAGTGGAATTTAAAACTAACTATAGAGACTACCAGTATAATGAATATATTACACCAATGGTACCTGTAATTTGTTTTAAATTTCATTTTGGTCCCTTTAATTTTACACATGGTCTTTTTCCGTTTCAAATTCTAATGGTATGTGATTGAGGGATCACATTGTAACAAATTAAAAGTATAAGGATCAAATTGTTCAAATTAAAACTACAGAGATTAAAGTGGCACTTCATTTAAACTACAAGGAATAATTGTGTAATTTACCTTACTCTTTTTAAAGAAAACATTTTACAAAAAAATCATATTATATTTTTAAAAAAAAAAAAATATTTTCTTATATTTAGTTACGACTTTGAATTAATCTACTAATAAATAGTAGTGATGTTGAGATAGTGGCTATAAAGTGACCACCTCATGTGATGTGTTACGCATATATGATTAGGCTGAGTCCGAAAGCCCTCTTAGCCTAATTAATTATATATCAATCACAATGCATAGTGGTCAGTAGTAACTTAGTTTTCCATGTTGTTAGGTTGTAGAAATTTTGACTTAGCACTATGTTTGGAAATTTAGGAGAGAAAAGAAAAGAGAGAATTACTTAAGTTATAAGAGAAAAGAAAAGAAAATAAATGATTGTGGTTTTTTTTTTGTTTTTTTTTGGATAAGTAAGAAATAAAAGAAAAGAAATGATTATGATTTCTCTTCTTCTTATTTGGTTAGATTTCATAAGAGAAAAGAAAAGAAATTATTTTATGTTATATTACTAAAATAACTTTTTTATATTTTCTATCATTTTATTTCTTTTATTTTTACAGGGACAAAATTGGTATTATAAAAATATTGATTTCTTTTCTCTTTCAATCTCTTCACTTTTGGGAAGATTGAAAATGAGAGTTATAAGAGAAATGAGTTTCTCTCGGTTTCTCTTCATTTCTCCTCATTTCTCTCCACTTAAACTATCCAAACAAGTAAGAGAAATACATACCTCTCTATTTTTTTTGTCTTTTCTTTCCGAATCACTCAATCCAAGTATAGCGCAATGCCTTCATAGTGTATAATGTGAAACACATTTTTTGTGGAATTAAAGTCAGCAAATTATTAATTACAATAAGGAATCATATTCTCTCTAATCCACAGTGAATAGGACCGTGCTGCTCGAGGAGGAGACCAATGCAATTAAGATATTGAGTTACAATGTTATGTTCAAGAATCACATGCTAAACAAGAGGATGGAGGCTTTGGGTGAAATAATTCTATGTCATTTGCCAGATGTCATTTGCTTTCAGGTACCATGAAGTTTCCTTCTTGTCCCAAAAGTCATTAGACCTATTTAGTGTAACTTATTGTAAGTTAAAAATTGATAATAAAAAAGTAGAAGTCCAAAATATCTCCTTCCAAATTTTTGAATAATAAGTTTTTTTTAAAAAAAATAAAAATAAAATAGTTTTGCTTAATAAGTTGTAAGTAGAAACTGTATTAAATAATCTGACAAAAATTTTCAGAATAGAAAAAAAAAGTTATGCACAACTTAAATAAGTTATACCAAACAGTCCTCGTAGGCTAAGGACTTAGTATATCTAACCGTTATATTACATGTAAGATTGCTTCCATATGACCCTTTTCACATATAAGATTCTGTTTTTGTTTTTTTTTTTGGGATAATTTTAAGGCTCTGCAACATGATAGGAGACTCATACATTAAACTGTCTTTATAAAATAATTATCATACTAAGAGTTGATTTGAGAAGTGACTTTTTAATCAAAATATACAGTGAAAAAATTAAAGAATTTGGAAATAGTGAAATCGAAACCATTTTTCTGTGCAGGAAGTTTCACTGGAAATTTACTCCATTTTTGAGCAATCCGAGTGGTGGAATAAATATAGTTGTTCAGTTTTGCATGAAACAGTAAAATCGGAACCATTTTTCTGCATTCAGGTAAAAAAGCATTGTTCAGGTGAAAGTTCTTTTATTAGTATTTTTTGATAATTTGTCTCGTTAAGGATGTTTAAAGATTCAATTGAGGGTAAATTACACTTTACACTCCTATATTTTGTACAAAATCTCACGTTGATTTATACACACGAAATCGTAATAGTCAACTCTCTACACTTTTAGTCAAATTTCACTTTTACACATAAAATCGTGATAGTTAATTCTTAAACTTCTGGTCAGTTGTCAATTTGCCTCTTCTGTTATTCCATTATTTAAGTTTTTAACAGAATCTAGTCATGTAACAAACATGTGACTACGAAATGAGAGCAAGAAAAGAAAATCATTCTCATTTCCCATCAATATATACTTTGTCCCATGTGATAAGTATGTGAGAGTTATATAATATATATATATATATATATATATATACACGTGTGTGCATGTTTTTATGTTGAAAATTAGGACAAAGAGATAAGAAAGTAGAATTTTTCAAATAAAAAAAAAAGTACCAGAGAAGTCGAAAATTGTGCTACTGTAGAAAATAAAGTTTCATTATTTCAATTTTTGCAAAACCCTAGATTATCTCCTTAATCGTTCACAATTTACGTTTTATTTTAGTTGAATACAATTAAAATTTGATGTAAATTTTACGACTAAATGTGTATAGACGGAAAATTTGGGTGATTTTTCTCTTTTGTTATCATTTTATAGTAATATACTTGTCACATAATTGACTTCTGTTAAAAACTTATATGATGAAATAACAAAAGGGAGACATTAACACTTGACTAGAAGTACATGGAGTTGATTGTTACGATTTCATAAGTGCATGGAGTTAACTGTCACGAATTTATGTGTAAGAATCAAAGTGGAATTTGATCAGAATTGTAGGATGTTGACTGTCACGATTTCATATGTAGGAACTAAAATGAGATTTGGTGTAAAGTGCAAGGAGCAAAGTGTAATTTACCCGTTCAATTGACTTTTTAAAAGATTAATTTTGAACAAATTACACCTCCAAAGATATTTTAAAGTGCAATTGATTGACCTAAACGATCTTTTTGAGCAAATTGCTCATTGAAAATTCATTAAAAAGTACAATTGATCACCTACAAGATGTTCCAAACTATCTTTCAAGGGATCATTTACACTTGTGAACATTTTTCATAGAGTAATTTGCTTCAATTGGTCTTTCAGAAACCAAGCAAAATGACAAAAGCCCTTTATGTATATTTTAAATTTCACATGTCATATGTAGTTGAGCAAATTACCAGTGAATTCCATCGGCTTCATACCCTTCACAAATTTTGGACCCCGGAAAAAAATTTCTATGCTTGAGATTGAAGTTTGTCGGGGCAAACCATTGGTCGTTGCCACTAGCCATTTGAAGAGTCCTATTCCTGGTGATGATCAGATGTTCAGCAAGAAACGCACAGCACAGGCAAAGGCGGCCCTTAACCTCCTTAAAAATTATCCGAACGTGATTTTTGGCGGCGACATGAACTGGGATGAGGACTTGGATGGAAGGTTTCCTCTATTAGATGGATGGGTTGATGCTTGGATAGAGCTAAGGCCGCGTGAAAGTGGATGGACATATGATACTAAGTCTAATCCAATGTCTAGGTCTCCTATTAATAATCCCTTGCAAAAACGGCTCGATAGGTTTATATGCAATTTGCAGGACTTCGAATTGAAGAAAATTGACATGATTGGAACAGTGCCAAGTGACCACTATGGCCTACTCTTAGAAGTTCAAAGCAAATACTAATGGTTTGCCTAGTAGAAAATCCCAGTAATTAAGTGTAGCTAGCCAAGGCAACTTACTGGTGTGTTTATATATGTAGTCTATTAGTGTTTGATCTTGTTATATGTGCACTTCCTGTTTTGGTGATATTTGGTACATGTATTAATTGTTGGAACAATTTTTTGTGTATAATAAATAAATTGAAACAAATTAGACAAAAATAAATAAATTACTTACAGAATTTATTTTATCGAACCGAATAAATAATTAAAAGATCAAGTCGAGTGTGTGACACTCTATCTTTAAGACAGATTCGTCCCGCTATGGTGTTTACGGACAAATGGCGTTTATCTTTCAGGATATAATGATCTTCACAAATTGTAGTAGCACTCCAAACAATTTGTACGGCGAAGCAAACTGTGTTCTATACTCTCTGAATTTTTCTCTAAAACTAGAATGAAGAATAATGCAGTGAAAGAGCAAAACCGGGAAGGGGATAGATTTTTCTGGATGTTTTTGATGATGTTTTCAGATGTAAAACACTGCTGGAACATGCCTGGAATTTATAGGACTGAACAAGTTTGGTTTTCAAACTGAACAGGTGTGTGTTCGAAATGAACATGTGTAGTTCACATTTCAACATATATGCAAAATTGTTTGATCTGTCCGAACTGTATGAATTTGTCAAAAATAGTGCAGTTTCAAATCTGTGTAACTTAAACAGTTTCAAGCGGTTAATCTGTTAAAATTTCAAACTGAAGGAGGTAAAATATAGACAGAAAATTAAATTCAATTTTGGCACACAATTTTGAATTTAATTTCATTAAGAATTTCTGGAAAAAATTCAAATAAATTTTGTCCAAAAAATTAATATAAGAATCGACCCGATTCACAACCCACACCTGAGCTCGGCATGGCCGGCCAGTCGAACGGTAGCGACGGCTCGCGTATGTGTATGGTAGTTTGAGACAAGGTTCATTTTGTCCATAACTCCTCCCTTCTACAAACTTGGGTGCCCCTTGGGGCCCAATCCAAGTGTTGCCACCTAGAACTTATATACACACATAAGTTCTCTTAAGTTTCCAATGTGGGATAACCATTTCAAGGAAACCCACATTTTACTTTCTTCAATTTCCTATTCCACGAATCCGAAAACGACATCAAGTTCCCATTCACTTATAAATGGTTTTGACGAACCATCATCACTGTGTGACTTGCCATGTGGCTAGGAACACGTCACATCTTTGGACCCACCTCAAAAGATGTGTGGGACCCTCTCTATTTTGAGCTCAAAGCTGGCCCAAAATAAGCTTATAAAAAACTAATTTTCCAACAATCCCCCACATAAATGGAATTTGACGGAGAGAAAAATGCAACAACATGATCTAATTACAGAGAGTACAAAAATTGAAAATATTCTGCAAATGATAGGTAGTTTTTGGCTTTGAACCTTCCCTTGTGAGACACTATCGGATTTACTAGCTAACCAGCGAACATAATGTTTTAAACTGTTCACCCATTTGTGTAAACCAAGACAATAGAATTCACACAGTATATTACCAGACACAGTTTAATTCCCACTATTGTGTTCATTTTGGCCCTGAACAACCTGGTCTTTCATGAGTATTCTAAAAACTTGTAGCCCTTCACAAATCTCATAGAACCGGCCCAATTCACACTTATATAGGTGATTCTTATGAAGAGTATCCTGCCATACTCCACTAGGTATTTCTAGATAAAAGAATCATTAAAAGTATTTACTTAACCTAAAATGTTGCAGACATCACTATGTTATCATAGAAATGGATTGGAGTTTAACTTCCTAGTGATCCTTATGAGTCATACACAACTTGGTTGTCCTTTTGAACCTAGATATTGGGATCTCCAGTCAACTAGGTTGGGTTTCCGTTGTGGTAACTCTTATTTAATAGGCTTAAGTCCCATCTCTCTCGATGAATTCTCAACTAGCTCTCTTGCTAACCTTTTAGTTAGTGGATCCGCTATGTTGTCTTTAGACTTCACATATTCAATGAAAATAGTTCTATTAGAGAGTAATTGTCTCACGGTGTTATGTTGACGACGAATGTGTCGTGACTTATCGTTATACACATGACTCAGTGCTCTACCAATTGTTGATTGACTATCATAATGTATGCATATAGCAGGCATCGATTTTGGCCATATCAAAATATCTTCAAGGAAATGGCGAAGCCATTCTGTTTCTTCCCCAACTTTATCTAAAGTTATGAATTCTGATTCCATAGTAGACCTAGCAATGCAAGTCTGTTTGGAAGGTTTCCAAGATACAGCCGCTCCACCAAGAGTAAAGACATACCCACTGGTAGATTTTGAGTCTCTAGTATCCGATATCTGGTTTGCATCACAGTATCCTTCAAGTACTGCTGGATACCTAGTATAATTCAACCTAATGTTATGAGTAAATTGGAGATATCTTAGAACCCTTATAATTGCTTTCTAGTGTTCTACTCTTGGATTACTCGTATATCTACTTAATTTACTTACTGCATAGGCTATATTTGGGTGAGTGCAGTTCATCAAGTACATTAAGCTTCCAATAATTTGGGCATACTCTAATTGAGAAATACTTTCTTGTACATTCTTAGAAAGAAACATATTAACATCCATAGGTGTTCTAGTAAGATAATCATCATCTTTGCTGAATTTGTCAAGTATTTTCTCAGTGTAATGAGATTGTGACAAAGCATAACCTTCTGATGTTTTGGTAATTTTCATACCAAGTAAATCAGCAATCCCCATGTCCTTCATGTCAAAATATTTATTCAACATTTTCTTGGTAGTTTTAATCATTTCATTATTACTACATATGATGAGCATATCATCTACATAAAGACATACAATAACATAACCTTTGTCTGTATTTTTAATATAAACACATTTGTCACATTTATTAATTTTGAATCCATTTGACATCATTGCCTTGTCATATTTCTCATGTCATTGCTTTGGCGCCTGTTTTAAACCATATAATGATTTAACCAATTTACACACTTTCTTTTCTTTTCCTAGAACAGAAAATCCTTTTGGTTATTCCATGTAAATTTCTTCATCTAACTCACCATTTAAGAAAGCGGTTTTCATATCCATTTGATGAATTTTTAGATTGTACAACGATGCAAATAGCAACTAACATTCTAATAGATGTTATTCTAGTAGTATGTATCAAAGTAATCAAGATCTTTTTGTATAAAACCTTTGACCACAAGTCTTGCCTTGTATTTGTCAATTGATCCATTCGCTTTTATTTTTCTCTTGAAAATCCACTTGTACCCAAGAGGTTTACAACCTGGAAGTAGATCCACCAATTCCTAAGTGTGATTTTATAGGATGGATTCAACTTCGTTGTTTGCAGCTTCTTTTCATAAAAGAGCCTCAGGACTAGACGTAGCTTCTTTAAAAGTTAAAGGCTCATTTTCTAACAAAAATGTTAGGAAAATCTGGACCAAAAGATTTTGAGGTTCTAGTACGTTTACTATGCCTAGGTTCCTCTTCCTCATTTTGATCTATCTCTATCTCTTACTCTCATTCTTGATCATATTCTTGATCCTGACTAGTAATAGTATCATGAGATCTTTTGTTAGTATTAGTCTCTTGTCTAGTTTTATTTGGAAACACATGTTCAAAGAAAGACGCATTTCGAGATTCAATAATAGTATTTACATGCATTTCGAAATGTTCTAACTTATGAATCAAAAACCGATATGTACTACTATTCTTGGCATAATGGAATCAACTGTTTTAGGACCTATCTTACTCTTTTTAGGACTAGGAATAGCCATTTTAGCTAAATACCCCTACACTTTTAAGTATTTATAGGATGGTACTCTCCCATGCCATAGTTCATAAGGTGTTTGATTTACTTTCTTTTGGAGTACTTTATTAAGTATATAATTAGCAGAAAGTATTGCTTCCCCCCACAAGTTCTGAGGTAATCCAGAACTTATTAACATGGCATTCATCATTTCTTTTAAAATCTTATTTTTCCTTTCAGCAATTCCATTTTGCTGAGGTACGTAAGGAGCGGTGGTTTGATGAATTATTCTATGTTCTTTACAAAATTCACCAAAAGGTGATTCATATTCACCACCTCTATCACTTCTAAGTTTCTTAATTTTCTTACCAAGTTGATTTTCAACTTCATTCTTGAATTGAATGAAAGTTTCCAAAGCTTTATTTTTTGTTCGAATTAAATAAACATAACTATATTTAGTATAAGCATCTATAAAAGTGATAAAATATTTTTTCCCACATCTGATTTGAATTGATTTAAAATTACAAATGTCACTATGAATTAATTCAAGTGGTTCCGTACTCCTTTCAATTGTATGAAAAGGAGTTTTGGATAATTTTTTCTCAACACAAATTTCACATTTATGATTTAAATCAATATTAAATTTAAGTAAATATTCCATATTAATTAATCTACGCAAAGATTCATAATTAACATGTCCAAGTCTACCATGCCATAAATTTGAAGACTCAAGCAAGTAAGAAGAAGATGCGTTTTTATTAATAATAGAGGGTACAATAGTCATTAAATTCATTTTGAAAAGGCCATCAGACATCTAACCTTTTCCTACATACATCCCGTTTTTGGTAAGTACAAACTTGTCACTTTCAAAAACTAGCCTAAATCCATTTTTACTCAACAAAGATCCGGAAACAAGGTTCTTGCGAATGCTCGGTACATGCAGCACATTGTTGAGACTAAGTTCCTTTCCAGATGTTATCTTCAGAATAGTCTTTTCTTGTCCTTCAACTTTAGAAGTCGAGGAGTTGCCTATAAAAAGTTGTTCACCGTTGTTTACTATAGAATAAGATATGAACATCTTTTTGTTGGCACAAACATGGCGAGTGTCACCAGTGTCCACCCACCATTCTTTAGGATTTTCGACAAGGTTTGCCTTGGAAACAACTGCAGAAAGATTTATGTCATCAACATCATTGGAATTTTATCCACTTCGGTCATATTGGCTTGAGCAGGTTTCTTGCTTGTTCTTCTTTTGCTTTTGCCTTTGCTATGGCAATCTATGGCCTGATATCCCTTTTTGTCACAGATGTAACACTTGCTATTAAACTTATACTTTTTAGTTTCTTCCTCTTTAGAGCCTTGTGATGAACTTTCTCCAGAAAACTTCCGTTTCTTTGCTTTTGGAACATGTTCCACCACATTTTCCTTCGACTCCATTGGATGCTTAC